AAATATGAAAAATAAGCCTCTATCAGGTCACTTGATATGATTATCGTTGAAGGGGTGACGAGTCGCGAGCCCTCGCTCTTTCTCTCTCTTTCTCGGGGGGTGCGTCGACTTCATAAAGCTGACTATGTGACCGAATTATAGTACACAGTTAATTGTATAGATAAAAAAATCGGATTCTGCCCGTTCACAGAGAAGCCTCGCGTTTCGTTTTGTCGTATTTATTGCCAAAGATGTCCACGGGGCAGTACAATTTACAATTACATAACAAAAACTTTACACAGTTCAATATGTGAAAATCATAAAGAAAGTATTACTCATAAAACGCAGATAGAAAATATATCTCTCTTTCAAAAAATAGCATTAAATCTAAATTTTTCAAAAAAAAAAAAAAAAAAAAAAAAAAAAAAAAAAAATAGAAACGCAAAAATTCACATACTGTCTGTGTCAGGAGGAGATGTATTAAATAAAAGAAAGAGAAGAAAAAAAGGAGATATAGAAATTTGTATACCTGCAATAATATATGCTCGTTATAAATTTTTCTTGAGATCAAAGAGATAAATATCAAGTAACCATGTAACTTCGATTCGTCCCTAATAATTTTTGCGAAAGAGGCGAGAAGTTCAAGTCGACTTGCGTATCGCACAAAAAACGTAATGCAGGTCCTTCCTATTTACACCTATACATTAAGCTTAGCGTATTTAAAAAACGGCTCGCGAGTTTGTTAGTACGGAACAATTACTTTTGGTACTGTTCAACAATCGATTTCTCGAACGTTTTTCAGGAATGCTTCTTTTTAATCCTATTACTGATTCTCAGACTATGCTGCAGAATTCCTTCTTATATTAAGATAAGATTTTCTTCTCAAAGTACAGCAATTTCATCAAGTTCATTTTACAAGACGTTCTGAAAATCGATTGTTTTCCGTTACGATTGATATAATGGTCAAGTATGCTTAAAGATACGTATTACTGACAAATTATACACTATTTTAAACTAGAGTTTTCAAGGAACGCCACGTTAGATGGTCGGAATTGCTGTAATTAAAGTTATTTCATTGTTATCTATCGCATCATTTGCAATTGTGGAAACTTCGGAAATTTCCTGTAAGAATTTGACTTCTATTTACACACCAAACGTATCTTCATGGTCAGTTAATTTTACAATGCGAATAAATGAATTTAAATGACTCACGAGATATGCGGCGAGATCATTGAAAATTGTTAGACGTAAAGATAATTCGATGCTAAAGAATATAGGAAGATACTAATGACAAAGCAATTTTATTTGATTTGTTCGAACATTCGAAGAATACGCGAATCTGCTCTTCGTTAGGCGTTAATTAAGCGCGATTCTCGAATTCTCTTGAGTTGCCTTCCATCCATCGAGCGCTCGTTCCTTCTCGCAATTTTCATCGGTTCGCTTAATTAAGCTTAAACTAGTTGTAAATGAGCCGTCTTTGACTTTTCCTTTCGCCTCTCTCCTGTCACCGCGGCGCGATGGAGAGAGAGAGAGAGAGAGAGAGAGAGAGAGAGAGAGAGAGAGAGAGAGAGAGCGCGA